TATATATAGAAATGGCAGCAGCCCGAAGATTCTAATTAAAAATGTTAAACTGGATAAGTTAATGATACACTATATCCAAAGTTAATTAAGAACCTGTACTAGTATCATATGCAAGTTTACATTATGATTAACATGGAATTATCGTATTTACTGAACTTACCGAAGGAAAGTAATCGGCGATAATACTTGCTGCGAAAGGTGTACATCCTGCTTCTCTATAATATCATATTAGCAGCTATATTATTATCAATGGTATCATTTATCAACAGTCTAACATATTGATATAATATAGAATTGAATCTACTAATTATTTTCATCTAAGGTATCTTGTATCAATAGTTAAACATACTTATATTAATATAGAATTGAATCCACTAAAAACTTCTAATTTTAATAATTTCTTTTACTCTTAATAACTATCAATAATACTGAAATTAAGTACCCAATGCCAATTGCAAAGCGAAGTACTAAAAGCTGCCAGTACTTTTCAGTAAATCCAGTGATGAATGTCATAGCACTCCAGAAAAACAAACAGCCGACAAGAAGATTACGACGATTAGTCAGGTCGCCAATTGCCGCTAGAGGAATTCCAGAAAATGTATATACCACTACGAATAGGACAAAAAGCGGAATAGAAGAAAATATGACTTGTAATGGCAGGTCATTTTACCAACTATACAAGATTAATGTCATACAGGTAGCGAAAATAAGGCCATTACCTATAAATGCTGGCCCAGCCAATATTTGAAATAATTCTCCCTGTCCGTTGTAATCGTACTTACAGACATGCTCACCGAAATCATTAACTTTGCTGTCACATCTAAATTAACAGACAAGGGATACAGTAGACTAATTACTATATAAAGTCTTTTATAAACTTTTGCTACATCCATCAGCAATTAATATCCGCTAATACAGTCCATGCTATGATAAAATGAATTGGTATAACGGTGGGATAAACATGAAGCTAAGAATAAAGCAAGAAAAGTGAATACCATCAATCACTTACATCGATTCAATTTGATGAGAAGTTAGAGTTTTGTCATGGATTCCACACGATATATTTCTAAATTGGGCTTTACTATAAGACGTGTTAAGCAGGCAGCCTTTATCGCCCCATTGCATTTCTTGAGCTATATAAATGGATGTAACACCAATAGCATAGCGATCCAGTTGATTCAATAGATATGTTAGTAGCAGTAAAATGAGTACATAAACTGGATAGCACCCAATTTCACGAAACTCCAACACTTTTCGCTTGATACCCATGATTCTACTTATACTAGGATACGGCTTAAAGATTTAGTGTAATTTCATGATATTTTTAAAATAAGTTACAAGCTTTCTTGGAAATATTAATGTATTCCGATAGCTGGTTCGTAGTGAATGCTGATGCGAATTTTCCTAAAATTGAAATCAACTAAGGATTTAAAATGAAGCTTTCAGTTAGAGATTTATTCCTTCTTTCCACAACCAACCTTTAATCTAATTAAGAGATGATAGTGTTTGGCTTCATTAAGCTTTTAATTTATAATTTATAACTGGTTAAATCTCATATTCTCATATCTGATTAATTGAAAAGTAACATCATTAGGATTACAGTAGAGTTACAAGTAAAGTTCTGTAGTCGACTCGCGTCAGTAGACTTGTGTTCAAGTTTTGTATGGCACTGTTTTATAAGGCGAAAATCCCATCTCGACCAAAGAGCATGTTATCGAGTCGTAAAATAATATTCCGGAGGGACATTTATAAGGGTTTATTCTTAAGCGATTTGCATAATTGATAATATATTCCAATGGCCGGTCTCTAGGGAACCCCATACTTTCTCTGAGAATTAGTGAATGGATTCCAACTATAGCGTATTAGTAGCACATGACCAGACAGCAAGCAGAAAGAACTACACGTAAATACAGTATAGTTACATTAATGGACTGATGCATAAAAAAACCTTAATAAGTATTGATTTGTCTTCCATATTGAATCTTGCAAAAAAATTTCCAAAATTTTCCCACCATTTTCATCGTGCTTGAGTAAACCGGTCATTTAATCACAATATGAATCCGTTACTGTACTCCACGGTATAAAAGTTATATATATTGGTAAATGAGCACTGTAATTACCATCTCACAAAGTGGATAAAATGCAAATTGCTCTCATACGGTACTCAGTACAATACTTTCTTTCCCAAATTTTTATCCAGGAGTAACCAGTTCCATTGACCTTTTTTTGAAGTAGTCTTGTCGTGTAGTTA